TACCAATGCGTAAAGGTTTTTTATATGCATATACGACCTTAATATTATTATGAAAATATTGAAATTAAAAATGAACTATAATAATAATCACTGGCGTTAGGTTCAGTGGATTCAGGTGCACATATTTTTTAAATTTGCAGAGCTTGTAAAAGTGGTTTGATGTAAAAGTCTAATAATATTGTGAACGTACGTTTTATTTGATTAAAACAAAATTCAGTTTATTGACATGGGATTTAAAATAACACGACTATAATCGAATGTCATTTGCAAATCCAATTGATTTGAATTTAGCTTGGAAAAAAACAAAAACGTCTTCAATAAAAACCACAACAAAAGCATTCTTTTTAAATAAAATCTAAAAAAAAACATTATTTTGTAATAATGCAGTTATTTTGAAAACTAACACATAATGTTTTTTATTGAGACAGTCGAAGTTTTTATTTATTAAAACAAAACAATTGCAGTCGAACAGAAAATATGTACATCGCAAGGTCTCCAATCTCACCGATATTGTGAAAATTCTGAAATTCCGACACCATTATTTCGGTACATTCAGCCATCGAGGGGTTTAGCGATTTTAGTTAGAAATTCAACGCCTCATTGTAGTCTTTGTTTAGACAATAAAAAATCTACAAGAACCCCAATATAACCACCTACAGGGGTTTTCTAAACAATATTGGTGTTATGTTACACATATTTATAACATATTATGTATTACTAGTATTATCCATTATATTTTAGGACGTTAACAAGCTATCCAATAGCGTAAAGCAAATACAAATACTTTTAGAACGACTATAAAATTTAGAAACACTAAAAATAAACGTAAAAAAAAAGCCAAACAAAATGTTCTGTAATTGTTCTCTCCGATTGGTTTAGAGATATTGTCTTTTCGAATAAAAATAAGAAAGTATGTAATACTTGGGAGTCGAGTACATAATTTACCTTTATCTTGCCGTTGTGAAATGCATAACAATAATATTATTACCATATACTATATACTACTGCTACATGTGAATAACATGAAACAGTAAAAAAAACTTTGTTTAATCCCACTACACGTTATTATTTATACAGCTTCAGACCATTTTATAAAATTATGGATAGAACAGCGAAACGACTTTGAATACAAATGTGACTACCAAACACAAAAGCTGTTAAGAATATTTGTGATACTGTATTGAGATTCTTATAGCAAATGAATAATTAATGATTTTCAATAAAATTATTTAATTAATTATTACAAAAAAGTAAAAATATATACGCATATTATTTAGCCAAAATGTTCAATATTGACCTACTACAATAACTTGAAACTGTTTGCATGATTTATTACCAAGTACGATAAATATTAATAATCACTTCTAGACAAAAATATTTAAATACGTTTAAAAGTACACATTTTAAGAGCTAAGTCACGGTGAATAATAGTAATACTCGATACAATATAACTGAGTATCTGAATTGAACTCTATAGAGAAATTATCACGTATTGGTATTATAATGTAAAAAAAAGGATAACTTCAACAGATCTGTTAGGATATTATGCACATATATTATTGAGAACTCGCTGGGAATTTGCTGGTCTTCCAGTGATCTCAGGAATTTATTATACAGCGGCGGGGGCGTTATGCTCGTGCAATAATTTAAAGATAACGTCTGCAACACTCTTGTTTAGTACGTTAAGCTGTAGGGTGGTAAGGGCAAAGGAAGTGCTATGCGAACTGAAAATTGTCTTCAATGACCACGGTTTCGTTCCACGCAAATGATTCACAAACAACAATATAAAACAATATATATATTACTGTGACCTATGTACATAATACACATTTTTTTTTAATGCCGAGGGTGTAGGCAAACTATACAGCATCCTGGTAAATTTATGGGACACGCGCGACCGAAAATTTGCGCGAAGGCAATAAATTAAAATAACTATCTCTCTTTCCGATTTCACCGGAATTCTATTTGTAAAGTTTTGACTAGAGTATAACATTACATGCAATTTTCAAGTGATTATTATATTCGGAAAAGTGAAATACCATGTGTAACTTTATAAACATACGAGTTCTCACATTGGATCTCTGAAATCGAATAGCGAAGTAATAAAACTTAAATCTATGGTCGAGTAAGATTTACATTATCGGTGTCATTAAGCATTGATATAATTACAAACGTGAAATTTAAAACGAGAACATTGAACCGTTGTCCGTAGATACCTTGCTCTGACGTTGTAATCAGGTATCTAACCGATATAATTACCTGAAAGTATAGTTATAGAGTTTTAATATGCTCAAGTCCGAATGGCAGGAGATAATCATTATTTTTACGGTGAATTATTTGTCTTTAGCCCTACTCCTCTTATCGATAGAAATTTCGTTGTATTATATTTTATCTAAATTGATAACATAAAATTATTGTTGTTTTATGCATAATCATAGGTATAATTATTCTTCGCGAACACGTCCCCTCGAGCTCTAAAATATTTTCAACGCACCCTGGTCGTGTGAGCTACATTATTAAACTACACACATTCACTGTGTTATTACACTTACAGCATATATTAATATTTATGAACTGGCAAACAAAATCGCCGAGTATAAAACATGCGTTAATTTGGCATACGTGTATTTTAGATGCAATAAAAAAAAACTGTTATAATATTCACAACAATAGTCATGCACATATATATATATATATTATATTGAACGAATTATGATAGTTTTAACCGTTAATATGTTGCTCTATTGTCTTGACAAATGTTTTTTATGTCACGGCCTTTTAAATACCCATGAATTAAACAAAATTGCCAAATTGATTAGTTGAAACAATTTTATATCGACTTTTGTGAAATTTATTTAATTGATGTTTGACAGCAAAAGTCAATGGATCATGATATTAGCACCTCTATCGCCAAACAAAATTAATTATTAGTTGGCTGCTGTTTTGCACGTCACTGTAAAAATTCGTTCCCCACGTCATTTAACGATATCTAACGCAAAACCGTATAGGTTTTTACGCCCGTTGGCGTTTATGATTCGTTGCGTACACCTATACACAACAACAATATGCACATACTTTTGTTTTTTCACACGGATGCCAGACACCGTGTGAAGGGAATGTCGCTTACGTATTGATAAATCAAATAAAAACAAAACAGAATATTTTTCTGAAAATTTGATTTGGTCGAAATTACATCAGATTTATCTACTTCAAAGTTCCAAGAAGAATACTTGTTAGATGAAAATAAAATAAACGCATTCAGCAAATTAATGTAGTTATCACAGTGTTTGATACGAACATTATTGAAATATTTCATTTTGCATTACAAACATCGACAATAATTACTTGATAAACAAATAATTTGACTAATAGTAATATTTTAATTTAAAAATATTGTTATAGAAGCCTTCAGGTATTTTTACGAAAATTAGCTGAATAACGTTCATTGCCATAAAGTATGTGTTTTGGTGAAGGTTTTTACTTTAAACAAAAGTTCTGCGTACATTAGCGTAAAGCTTTATGTTCTATGAAAGTACAATATAGACGTGATGTATAGTTGAGAGTATTCGTTTTATTGTTCAGAAAAACAAACATAGGGAACACGAAGCGCGTAATTAAAAATTAGAAAATAAGCATAATAAGGTATCGTTTTGAAATAACGTCCGAGAGATTTTACTACAAGATTGAATAGTCATACTTGAGACTACAATAATGAATTAAAAAAGACTGACGGATATAGAGGGTTTAGCACGACAGTTGCTGAAGGCAACACAGAAACTGGTAAGGACAATATCAATGAACTCGGATCGTTATGGTCGATCCCAAGTGGAAAATTCAGATAAATCAATTTGTCCCGGCTTGGACGAGCTTTTGTTCCCCAAAACTAGCATTTTTAGTAATAATTATCTAAAGGCTGCACGTGTCAGAATTGATTAAACGAACAAGTCAAATTTTGAGTACTGTAACAATTTCAACAATACTGATTGATGAAGGTATTGACGTTACAATCTTAGAGATAATATAGTTTAAGTATATATGATGTGATAATTGAAAATAATTTCATAATTACGTTTACCAAAAAACAAATTGTAATAATTATTTATTAATTCTAATGTTTTATTCTCCAAAAAACAATTTAAAGTACATTGACACTTCTTCAAGTCTACTTTACTGCGAAGCTAAATTAATTGAGTACAATTCACCTCTTGTTTAAACATTAAGTTGACTAATAATTCTATTTTTAATTGAATATTTGTTAAATTAGATAAAGCGTTTTTAATTGCGTATATTTTCTAAACTGTGAGTTCCACAAAACAATATTGTACGAGATATAAAAAGCATATTGATGTTTTTAACACTGTATTTTGTAACATAATGTTGAAACAATAACACAATTAACCTATGCGTTCTATCTTGTGATTGGGGTAGCCGCATGCTGTTGTCGCCCAAATACATAATTACGGGACAGACTCCCTACAGGGGATTACATATTATTATAAATACAAAGAGTACACGCTAGAAGTGTATAAGTAGTATATTTTGAAAATAAATTGTCACGATTAGGCTAGTAGTAGAATGAGTATATAGCGTTTTATGCAAATTAGGTAGTACGTCTGCCACCGTTGAGTTTTTGAAGACTGCCAGGTGCAAGTGGCTTATGCGACAGACAATATATGTTTAATTTAAACAACAGCACTCGCACGTGTACATAAATATATTGAAGACATTGTTACAATGTGTATTAAAGTGAACTATTATGTTGTAATAATATTTGTGTATAAGCGAACAAGTTTTCTTTGAGGGTGGCCTGCTCGTTGACTCCCTTGACTTTGTCAGGCATCATGCGGGCAATATCGAGATTAGGTCGAATACTAGCCGTTAGCTGATTGTGGGTGTTGTTATTATATTAATATTGCGCAAAGCACCAAAGAACCGAGTAGACACTAAAAATACTGCAAATGCATGATTTGTATTGAAATAAAATCGTGATTAGTATTTACCTGCAACAGGAGATAGCTTTCGCATCACGCACCACCTGGATTTCCACTATAAAATAATAGACAAATAATTATTAACTATATTAATATATATATATATATATATATGTGTAATTTCTAAAGTGTATATAAAATGTAATTATGCGGGCATAACAACTTGACGTTTTTTTTTTATAAAATTTTAAATAATTAATATTCTGAAATGCGTTTTCTTTGAAAAAAATATTTGAAAAATTATATAATTCATAATGTAATTTGCATAATCTACAACCGTGAGTTATGCAGGTACAAAATGAAATGCAAAAAACTAGGACATATTATATTGCAAAAAGAAACTAGAATAAAGTAAAGTGAGAGGATGCATTGCTTGTATTATTTCAAAGTAAAAAATTAATTATGTTATAAAATGTTAGTATCGGGTGCCACTTATATTTCAGTTGACCAAATAATTAACTTATGGCTTGTTACAGTTAAGGCGGAATTAAAGGAGGCGATTACAGATAGTAATCGGCGGTATACTTAATTCAAAGGGATCCACACAAAATAATTGCACTCAGGGGTATTAGTCAATGTCTTCCGCTATCGTTTATGTCCTTCTATTTTTAATTTGCATCTAACCCGACGTGTTAGGACACACAGGAAGTGTCATCGTTCGCGCGGTTTTCTGGGCGGAGAAAATTTATAATAACGCTGTATGTGTGAGCACCCAAATAATGATAATATTGAAATAGGCATGTGCGATGCAGAGAGATAAAAATAAATGGTATTAGTTTAGTCAATGGGATATACGGTACTGTGTGATGATGCTTTAAGTTGAAAATCTTGGCGAACACTTAATAATATTGAATCAAAGAATGCGGCTGGAAGTGTTGAAGTCTATTACGGTGAAAGGTTAATTTTTGCTGTGGTCCAACAAGTTTATGTTAGGAATAAAAAAAAAATACAAAACCATTGTCGATAGCGTTTTGTAACAAATCAAAGGCAGTAATTTATCGTCTGTCGATAAAAAACAAAAATAAATAAATAAACAGGCGCGGTGTAGCCATTGAATTATCGTTTTACGTCCCAGAATCTGACCAAAACATATTTCATTAATAATATTGTGCGGGTCTCGTATATTCCTTTAGTTTCTTTCGCTTTTAAGGGTATTCCCTTTTTTTCTACACAAGATCATACCTACTTCCTCACTACTCCAATTTTATGTTAAGATCTCTGGGGAAGAAACAGACCGTGTAAACGACAACCAATTGGACCTTTTTTTTTGTTATTCTAGCTATTTTCGGCGTGTTAAAGTGGCCAATGCAATTTGATATCGAACAATTTTTGACAGCAATACTATGAATACATTATAATATTATCTCAGTCACACGAAAACTGTGTTAGGTCTATTGGCTTATTGTTACGTTTAAAAAATTAGGCCGTACCACTAACCAATTTTCACACCCAACCCGATCAAATTCACAACCATTAGGTTAGATCAGTATTTTTTTAATTTTATTACAAAAAATAATTTTTAAAATAATTGATTAAGGAATTTTATAATTCAGTACTTACACGTATAAGAAGTAATTATGTAACCAATTGCAAAATAGAAGTGATTATATGTATATAAAAATTGTTTTTTGAGTAAACATCAAAATTTCAAAATATTCGCCAAAGTGACTCCAACGCGCTATAATAAAGTCATGATCTTGTTAAAATTACTTTTGATTGAGGTAAGGAGATCCTTTTAGATGAATAGCAAAGTTGCCGAAAAATTTCAGGCTTCTACAATACATTATCTTTAGTGTAAATTGGGTAAGTAGAATTTAGTATATAGTAATAGTAAAAAAAATAGTACCTAAAAAATATGTACGAGTGTTACATAACTCAATATATTAGCATTTAACCCTTCTAGGTCATGTCCTAGTTTTTTAACAAAAATTAGTCGGTATGAAATCAATATTTTTAAATTGCATAACGTCACACAGGTTTTATACTTTTTTTATCCCTAATATACACGTAGTTTGACAATTAAGTAAATATTTTACACGGTTAGAAATGTAATTAGGATAAAAAAGATGTAGCTGAAATTAATACTTGTTATAAGTTAATACTAATGAATCGATTATAAGCGATAGGAATTAGTGAGCGTATGCAAAGCATATTAGGAGGCCAACAGTTTTTGTTTATTATCAGATAGAAATTCGCAGAATCAACAGTTAAGTGGAAATGACAAATTCTCGGGGTATTCGGTTCGGACGTGGCAAACCGGTTTGCGAACGCAAATCGAACGAGGTACATAGATATCATCTTAAATATTTGCACTTGTATTTTGGGGGCTGGAATGTTCGTTAAGGATATGGTTTTTTGGATACACAAAGGATTTGAAGTGGATTAGTGCGCGCACATTTATATGGATTATTTCAAATAAACATGAAACTCATTATAATTAATAATTACACTTACTTTCTTTCCATCCCGAAACTTGACAGTACCTTCGATGACCGTGTTGAAATCCGTCATTCTATTGACACTCACGCAACTTACACTAATTAATAAAAAATTACTGCACGGAATTAAAACATTCGCACAGTTTACTCACATGGCACCATCGAATGAAAAAAAAAACGTCGCACTCCATAAAATCATCGATTACTATATCGTTGAAACACTTGAAACATTTAAGTCAAGGAAAAACTTAAAAAATTCGCAAGTTTCGCACGTTTTGTCGCGGACTGACGATCGGTCGGTCATGAACACGACGAGACCACGCGACTCGGTGAACGCAGCCAGACTGGTCGCGCGCGCGCTGCCGCCTCCACCAGAGAGTCGAACGTCACCACCACCCGCCGTCCGGTAACGGCGTCTAACAACCCTGTGCGTTATAATATTCTTATTATTTCACCGACCTCCTCCCAAATTTCTGCAACGATACGTCTTGGACCCGCGGCTTGTACACAACAACACAATGGCTTTTAGCCGGACCGTAGGTACAAACAACTTCGACAAAAGCACAATTACATGCCGGTGGCGCACGTGTGTACTTATGGAACGATAAAATGCGCCGGGTCCAATAAGGGGAGAATACGAGTGCCGGAACAGTTTTTTTTTTACTTATAGTTACGCGTGAATAAAACATACAGTTAAAAGCGAATATCTTTTCTTTTTGGCTAACGGGCTTATGTTCTCCAGACATTTTTCGAGCGCACAATTGACCGTATTAAACTTATCTGAGCTAAATGCCACGTCGAATTTTTGTTTTGTTTATTTTGCCACTTTTGATTTTCGTCTACGAAAATTTATACTTTCAACTATCTTTTGTCCAAATAGTCTAGACTCGTAAAAGTCCATAGAGTTAATTTATACTGAGACGTTTTGAAGTTGAATCGTAATGAGAACAATTTTCGTCTACTTTAACGAAACAAAGCTCTTTAGAGTTTGTTAACTTATTAAAATTATGAGCAGTTTTTATTTAAAGCAATACCTTTTTGAATAGTTCAGTAAAATGAGTTCACGAAAAACATAATTAAAGAGATACATTCAATTTGAATCAATGATCATCTGACACTATTTACCTTGATTTACAGGTATCAATTAATTTGAATAATACATGATAATTATAAAATGGAACTACAGTTTAAGATTTTAAGTAGATATCATCATATTATTTGACTAATATAATTAAAGTGCAAAATAAATTTAAATACGTAAGATGATAATATCGAACAGAATACTCAATTGCGGAGAACGCTGACAAGTAAAACTCTAGAAATCATAACAATTTTCATTTTTCTTCGTTTCGGCAGATTATATGTAATATCAAGAACGTCAAGCGTTTCGGAAGCATAATATATCACTCGTTACGCCATCTGAATTTCTTAAGCTTTTGAGCAATGATGACAACGATAAATTTCCTTTTGAGAGTCGTCAGTGTACTCCATGCTGGTTGTTTTCTTTAAGTACGGAAAATGTTTAGGATAGCGGTTATAATATCCGGGCGCCTTCTTAGTGGGCTTTGGCTATGCACTACCACAGGGCGTCTTCGGACAAACGTACCACCCGGGAGAGAATAATAAAACAATTACTATATCAAAGTAAAACAGTAAGCAGTAATAACGTTATTTATTAGGAGATATCCTATAAACAGACACTATTAGAAAATGCTGGATTGTAACTATATGAATAGTAATTATGATTTTTTCCTTCTTTTAAAAACACAGTATTTGTAATCGAAAAACAGATTGGTCATTTATTGCTTTATCTATATAATAGCGTTCCGATTAAACGGCATTCACACCGGATTATCTGTTCAACAATGTTTTATGTTGTACATTTATACAAGTAAACGGATTACCATAGATTTACACGCAGTCATTACAATAATATTTACCACTGATATTCGACTAGTGGTTAGGTTTCAAACGATGGTGGTGGTCTCGGGTGATAATTCCTTGGAATCGAATAGGTTGACCACCAGCGAAAAGTCAACGAATTTACCTCGGCCGTTGAGAAATCACTAAGAGGTGCATATATCTCTTAGCTTTGCTATGCAAAACATCAAATATTAAATTAGTGTTTTTTATACTCCGTTATTACGGTCAATGGTCGTTATTTATATGACTAAAATGAAACGTGAACACGATATATACTAAATGAATTAGTCCTCGGGAAAATTACATGGAAACTTTGCTCTGTACCTTACTGTACATAGTACAGTCACACGAGAAAAATTTATTAAAATAATATATGATATTTAAGGTAACGAAAAATCAGTTATCATTACGATATTTGTTTCATAAATATTTAAAATTAAATATAAATTTCATAAGACAAACGTGATAGTATAGAAATATATAAACTATATACGCTATCTAGCTGAAATTTCAGGCTCTAAATTATTCAGTTAATATTATTAGTATTTTAAATTTGTATGATGATCATTATTGTAAGTTGAAAATAATTTTTTAGCTTCGATGCGATGCTGAGAAGGTATTAATTTTACTATATATATATCTTAAATTAAAGCTAATGTAATATACTTTATAATGGTAAAAAAAAAATTCGGACTTTATTTTATCTTCATGGTAAAAACAGACATTAAACTTAATAAAAAAAATACGATTTTTGTAAAACAATTCTTTTTTATATTTTTAACTTTATAATGCTATAACTTTTTGAAAGATGTATGGAT